AACATATTCTGTTACACCAAATACACAAAATAATGATCTTTAAAATAGCATCATATGACCCCTTTAAAATAATTGTAAAAACGTCCACCTTCAGGTTGTGGTTCATGTATCTTTTTGCTGTGAAATCTTTACTAATTTTTATAAAGTAAACGTAAGAATAACTTTTATATTGTTAGTAATATTTCAAGATGAACACTTACTGTACTGAAGAAACTTAGGTTTACTTGATTATCCATACAATATAAATCTTTTTTTTTTTTTCGTAAAGTCATTAAAATGTATCAGATTTGATAATCAGGCTTTTGAGCAACATTTATTTGTTCAACTCTCAGTCAACATGGCATTGCATTATATGTTTTAAAACTACAGAGCATTGATAATAAAACTATGCATTTAAATATCTTTTTACTAAGACATATTATTGGGAGATGCAGAGTGACAACTGATATTTATATCATTTTATGTAAGTAGTCTGTTATACTGTTATTAAGATCTCACTGATTTACATTGCAAGTTATCAGAATTTCATCTTACTTTTTGACCATATAAATATCAGCATTTGCACCAAATTGCATATTTTTGCCTTTGAATAAAACTGAGCTGTTTTTTCCTCTATATTCTTACTAAATAATATTATATGAGCCATAAAAACCTGATGTATTGTAGATGATACTCAACAAAAATACATGAGCAAACCTTTTATAGATTAAAAAAAAAAAAAAAAGATTTATCTGACTATAATTTCATATGTCTGGCTTTACAGGGTTAAATGATGCTTTCAAATAATTAATAATAATAAAAAACAAAAGTCACATTGCAAAACAAATGCATACCCAATTTCCACTTGAAAATGTGAGTGCAAATTTCGCTGTTCACAGTGAGGGAAAAATCAGATTTGGGTCTCATTTAATGTGGTGTACGTACGTATGTGTATGTATCCGTCCTGTTTTGTGCTTGTCTTCACTCTCGTCCTGTGACTGTCTTCACTGCCTGCTCTTTCTCTCTCCTCTCTTTCTGTCCCATTCTTTTTCCTCACACGCAGACATTGTTCAGATAACTCATTTGTTGCTAGGCGGGAGACGTTTGAGATCGATGATGACTGTGACAGTTTGACGTGGGAAGAGAACGATGATACGCTGCTGCTATGGGAGGATTTCACCAATTACAACATGCCCTACAGCCTTAACAACAGCACCGGTGCCCTCGACTGCAACGGAGACACACACGACACTGTGAGTTTCCATTTCTCATCCATATACACTACTGTTCAAATGACTGGGGCTGGTAAGATTATTTAATGCTTTTGAAAGAAGTCTCTTCTGCTCAACAAGGCTGCATTTTTATGATTAAAAATGCAGGAAAAACTGTAAAATTGTGAAATATTATAACAATTTAAAATAACTGTTTTCTATGTGAATACATTTTAAAATGTAATTTATTGCTGTGATCTAAAGCTGAATTTTCAGCATCATTACTCCAGTCTTCAGTGTCACATGATCCTTCAGAAATCATTCTAATATACTGCTTTGATGCTGAAGAAACATTTCTGATTATTATCAATGTTGAAAACACTTGTGCTGCTTCATATTTTTGTGGAAACGAATTTTTGCTGAATAGAAAGTTCAAAAGAACAGCATTTACTTGAAACAGAAATCTTTTGTAACATTATAAATGTCTTTACTGTCAATTTTCATCAATTTAATGCCACCTTGCTCAATAAATGTATTAATTTCTTCTTTTATCAGTGTTGTTCTCAGCATATTTGTACAGGTTGAGAGTAAATATGAGTGAAATAAGCCATTGTGTGTCACATATCTCAGGATTGCAGTCTGGGAAATCTCATCGATGAGACCGAGTCTGTTTTCAAGACCAGAGAGCAGGAATATCAGAAGACAATCGGACAAATCGAGGTTAGAATGTGCCTGTTTTTCTGTACTTCCATCCAAGCCAAACTGGGATTGGTTGTGATTGTGTTTGTCCTCCTACTGAAGTTGAATGTGTCTGCGATCTATCTCTCTCGCACACAGATGGAGTTGGCCACGGCTAAGAGTGACATGAACAGACATCTGCATGAGTACATGGAGATGTGCAGCATGAAACGAGGGCTGGACGTGCAGATGGAGACGTGCAAGAGAATGATCAAGGGTGGCAGGTGATTTCACTCATCATTCAGAGAATGCAGCTTCACTAAAGGGTGTTTGCTAAGAAAAACAGCTTATAGTGCTGATCTAAGATCTGAAATATCTGTCGTTTTCAAAAGTACTAAAGACAAAATCTAGCAATATGTCCTAACCCGGCAAGATGTGATCAGCTAGCATTTGATGAATCACTTTCATTTGAAGCTGAGGTTTTCTTCTCCTGTAATGACAAGGCTGACAATTTCTTTTTAATTACAGCAATTAGGAGTGGCAATATATTAAAATAATTAAATAAAATAATTATAGATAATTTCACTTTACAATTTTCAATAACAATGTTTTTCAGGGCTTACACTTTTTATTATCAATTTACATGACTTTTCCAGACGTTTGTGATTACACTGATTCATTCGTTTTTTATTATTTACTCACAAATAGCAATTTCTAACACCCATATATATATATATTTATTTATATATTAAGAATTTGCATGACTTTTTTTTAATTTACATTCGGGTCTAGAAATCACATTTTTAAAATCCCCTACATAACAAATATAATGGCAGCTTATATCTTGTTTTTCAGCTTTGTCACAATAAATGTTAAATGACCTCATAATGTTGCATGTGGAAAATTATTGTGGTTATTTTGCCATTTTTTATTTTAATTTTGTATATAAATGCCTTTAGAATGAAAAACACAAACACAGATCACTGCCATAGCTTGCACAACTTTATTTAATATATATATTGATCTTTTATCTGCCATTTTTGTGCTAAAATGTGATGTTTAGAAGTGTAATCAAAGAGATGGCATAAATCACGGCTGATATTCATTCATCACACAAGTGGAATATAGTTTCTTAGTATGAATTAGTTTTTTTCTATTTTCCATTTTCATTTCCATTTTAGTTAGCTTTAGTAATTTTGTTGTCATTTTTAGTATTTTTTTAAATGTCTTAATTTTTATTCATTTTAATTTCAGTTTTAGTTATTTTAATACATCAAGTTGAGAAATGTTTAAGCTTTTTAAGTTATTTTATTTTAGTTAACATTTATTTTATTTCCAGTAATAAAAATATTTCCATGTTTTAATTTAGTTAGATTTTTCATGTTCATTTTATCAATAGTAAGTCCTGTAGACACAACTGGCAGCGTTTCCTGAGAATGAGGGTTTTTTGTGGATTTTAATCATCTTCTCTTTCTCCTTCAGAAATTCTCTTTCCATCAGCTCATCCGCGAGCAGTGACTCAGGGAACACTGAAGAGATACAAGACGAGTCGGACAAGGACGGAGAGACGGAGGGGCCAATCAGCTGATACCTGCCCAGTCTGGCCCCGCCCTCTTCCCCCCACGAGCTCCAATCAGCTCTCGGGCCTCCCAGCAATCGGCCAATGGCCTTACACTGAGGGACAGAGCCCACTCCCACAAACCCCAAATTCTGTAGGTGCTTTAACGTCAGAGTGGGGCGGAGTTAATGAGGGTTGTTTTTGTGCTTCGACATCAATATCGATGTGTCACACGGTGCCACAGCTGTCACGGGACAGCCTAACTACGAATCAGATCGATCCCAGCTAAAATACATAACACAATACACTTGATCAAACCCGAAATCAAGCCCATATCTCGATAAGAAACCGGAAAACGTTCACGCAATGTGAGTGATACACAAGACTGAAAGCCGATCAGACCAAAACGGACTGAACTCGCTGCGATCGAACACATCAGAATGAGTTGCTTAATATTTGTGGCTTTTTATTTTTCTAAAAACTATTTCAGAAATCAACAGTTTACTGCAGAAACACTTTGGCCTTTAAGCCCCGAACCCAGTTTGCGAATGTGGAAACAGCTCATGTTCTATGCAATCGGCCTTATTTTGTGATCTGTGTTTTCCCAGCTAACAAAAATACACTCTAAGAATGTTTTGCTAACGTTCCCAGCTAGTTTTGAAAATGTTATTCCTGAATGTTCTCTGAACATCAAAATGTCCAGTTTTCATCAAAATGTTTTAACCCTCTGGTGCTCTTCAGTAATTTTTCACCCACAAAATATGTTGTTTTTTTTAGAATTTTTTAATTAATCAGAATAGAATGAATCTTGGTAAAGGATTTGGCAATTGCTATGTGAAAAAAAAAACTCATGGGCATGATTTAAAAAGATTAAACGGTTGTGAAAAAAATAGTCCCACTTTTTGCAGTCAAAAATGTCCGCATTGGAAATGAATGGGAAACTAATTTCATCTAGTGGAAACGTTTGGTACTACGCTCAAAGAAAATCTTACTGAAAGCTCGTTTTTTTGTGATATCAACTTCAAATTCGGAACACAACTTGTTTACAATTATGGTTTTAATTATATTGCAGTTTTAGAGTAAAACATGTTTCGGAAAATATGTATTATAACAATAAAGTTAAGCACCAGAAGGTTAAAACCTTTTTTTTTTTCCTGGTTATGCGAACGTTAAGGGAACATTCCATTTTCTCATTTTGCAAACATTATGGAAATGTTACTTTTGAATGTTCTCTGAACGTTCTGAAACAATTAGTAACATTTAAAAAAAAAATGTCAGATGAATGTCCAACTGAAAGATTTCAGAAAAAAAAGTTTTGAGAACATTCTTAAAAACCAGATAACTTTAAACAAGCATTCTATTAACGTTACTGAATGTTTGTTGATAACTTTGAGAAAACCTTGCCAGAACATTAGCAAAACGTTCCCTGTTAGCTGGGTTTGATTTGCCTTAGGCGATTTCATGTGTTATGTACTACGTTCACATGTTTTAATGTTTACACACTTAATGGCAGAATCTGTGGAACAGTGTCCCATCATTTTAAGCAGCAACCAATGATGATTGAAGCTTTTTTAAGGGTTACACACATCAATATCTCAAATATTAAAGAACTATGTGCCTATACATACATTGCAGGTTCATTTTGGATGGCCTTACTGCATTTCCACTACTTTCTAAAGTTGCACTCATTATAATCACGGGGAAGATTATCAAATATATTTTATTGATTGTATGAGGACTTGTCTAAGCAGTTTCATTGTTAGGTTATATAGTTAGAAGAGTTTTCAGGTGGAGGTTTTTATTGTATATAGACCATGTTGGGTGTATCTGAAATTATACCCATGTCTATAAATATATGTAGATAAAAAATATCAAATTATGGCATTAAGCCCTCACAGTGGCCACTGTTCCATACAGATTCAGGTTTGTTTTCATGGATATGGTTTGTTAATATAATTGCCTTTTTGTTTATTTTGCTTGGTCTTTTTTGGCTCTTTATATTTGCCATTTTTAGCGTATATACACTACTGGTCAAAGGTTTGGAAGAATTAAGATTTTTTAATGTTTTTGAAAGAAGTCTCTCCTGCTCCTTATTTCATCAAAACACAAACATATGAAGCAGCACAAATGTTTTCAGCATTGATAATAATCAGAAATGTTTCTTGAGCAGCAAATCAGTATATTAGAATGATTTCTGAAGATCATGTGACACTGAAGACTGGAGTAATGATGCTGAAAATTCAGCTTTGCATCACAGGAAAAAAATGACAATTTAATATATATTCAAATAGAAACAGTTATTTGAAATTGTTATAAAATTTCACAATATTTACTATTTTTACTGTATTTTTGCTCAAATAAATGTAGCTTTGGTGAGCAGAAGATTCTTCTTTCCAATTAATTATTCCAAATGTTTGACCAGTAGTGTACATTCCTTAAAAATTGTGTTCATACATATTATTTTAAACATATTAATCTGAAATATGGGGAAATTTGATGGGTTTTATTAATAGATCGGTGATTTAATTATAAGCTCAAAGATGTAATTATAAGCTCAAAATATGGTCGCAAAGGGTTTTTAAAAACATATTTTATAGTAAATAAGTTGGTGGGCATCATTTTGGTTTATTCGTTTTACAACATATTCATTTAGCTAAAGAGTTGATATCATATAGTATCAAATCATCTGTCAATTTTGGAATTTAGTTGGAAAAGATTGGAAAGATTGGAAAAAAAATCTGGCTTTTGAATTTTATAATATATAAAATTCATCTGATTTTATAATATTCTGGGTATCCGGGGTTAATTTGGATGCTTTTCCTTGAAAAAATTAAACATGCACTTATAGGAGTCTTTGCCTTTTGAAACACTGTTAGCCTATTTTGTATTGTTTATGGTGAAAATCAAGCTATTTTTTTGTCTGAATCTGAATCCATAACATGGGTCAGATGTCTCATTTCAAAATCGATTGTATGGTTTTTGAACAAAAAAATGGGAAAAGGGCAGTATCACAAGGTGAATTACCACACAAAATCATATGCTGAAATAAAAAAAATTCTGATTTAATTCCATTGTGTTCATGGCATTTTATAGAAAAAAGTGAGAATTATCTCTGTAAAGTATCCTAAGCAAAGGTATGAGTTGGTAAACGTCTTTTAGAAGTTATTAAGCTTGAATGTTGTATTTGAAAGGAACTTACTAATTGAAACTGCATGAGAAAGTAATGCTGTCATCATATTTGTGTTTTTGTCAATTTAATAAAGGCACAAAATGGCAGCAAATGTAGGTTAAAATTTCTGCAGTGATGAGCTCATATAGCGCAAACTTTCATAAGCATAAAGCCAGAAACACACTTGATCAATTTCAGAACACAACAACACAAAGTTTGAGTTTGTGTAGCATTTGACTTCACATATTTGCATAGAGTATGTTTCAGGCCTAACATTTTGTCTTCAAATCAAATATGCTGTTTTTCTTTACCCTTGTGCTTTACCTAATTTGGTGTTACCGGTCAACAAAACAACAACAGCATTTTAAAAATTGCTTGTAAATCTCTCATTATGCTATATAATCTCCAGCGCTGGGTAGATTACTTACAAACTGTAGTCCATGATTACAAATTACATATCGGAAAATGTAGTTAATTAGTAGCGTAATCTGTTTGATTACACATATTAGGTAATGTATTCTGAATACTCTTTGATTACTTTTAGATTACTTTTGAATTAACTCTTAAAGCGGTCCTATTATGCTCTTTTACAAAGTCTTGATTTTGTTTTGGGGGTGTACTAGAACATGCTCTCATGCTTGGTGGTTCGAAAAACACATTATTTATCATATAATTTACATTATTACAATACCTTTCTCCCTATCCTGGCACAAACGGCTCGATTAGTTCCGGCTTTGATGAAGGTCCGCC